AAAATATACAAAAAAAATTAAAGGACATAGGAAAATAGTAGGGGATATTAGATTAAGTGAGATTCCTGTATATGTTTGTGTTGCAGTTATCTGTTTACATATTTGTCTCCATCTACTTGAGTCAGTAGAAGGCTATTAGCATGGAAACATGAAAAACGAAGTTTGGAGAGATGGAATCAATGTTTATCTAGCACTGTCCAGTGGGAAATGACCATGAATCTAGATAACATGGTCACAAGAGTCCTGTTCTCTGATGTAAGGGAGAAATGTTTCATCAGGGCTCCGTTCATGACCTCTAGGAGATATCCCTCAAGATAATCCATCTCTTTCTGCTCTGCCTCCATGTTCACCAAGCAACCTTTGGATTATTTCCTTGGCTGAGTTAAGTCCTAATTGTCCACCTCTCTTTTCTCCACCGATCTGTACCAAGTTTTTTTTCTTTTAAAGCCCCCCACTGAAGCTAATTTATTCTAAGAAAGGTTTCTTAACTAATCCTGTCCCTCTTCACAACCCCTCACTTACAACAGATTGTCTGCACCTCCCTTTACACCAAATGTAATTTCTGAAGCTACATGTTAAAATGCAATTCACTTCAGTGAATTATTTTTAATGATGAATTCATTACTATGCTAGAAATTCCCTGAGCACAAGAGACTATATTTATCTTGCATCTCCACCTCCTAGCACAGCACCTGGCATGTTATGGATACCCCACGAATTGGATGACTACCCTCTAATTCTGTAGTATTTGAATTTTCATACGTTGGGTTTTACACAGGTGTACCTTTACTTATATTCTGGTCTGAAAGAGCATATAAGGTGTGGGGTTTTTTTGGTCTTTTTTATACATGCATAAGATAACAGGCATATCAAAATTTATATTTCCAAGTGAATGTTACTCTTCGAATACTTTGGGAGGCTATAAATTTATTCCAGTAATGACACCATTATTCAAAACTTTTTTTTGAAATGATTTAGAGCTGGCTTGTAAGCTACACAAGAAAAATCAGTCTATTAAACTATTTTGTTATTCTTTGAGGAATAAATGATATGACTCAGACACCTTATTCACCAGATTTAGCTCTGAGTGCCTTAACATCTCTTTCCAAGGAAGATCTCCTATCAACTGAAGACATTCCTAAGTACCCCAGACTTTGAAGGAATTTCAAAATAAGAGTTTTAAGTAATAACAGCTGTTTGAAAAAGTACAAAAGTCCTGAGTGGAATTGCTTATATTCATACATTATTTCAGCAAACAATTATTGAGCACCTACAATATTCCAGGCTCTTAGAAAGGTATAGAAGTTACCAGGATTTATCCCATGACAATAGGAATCCCTGGAAGTTAGTGGGAAAGACAAATGTAAATAAAAATAACAATATTATTCCAAGTGTTACTATAAAAATGGGGGGGGGGGGGTGACAGTAAACTGAGAATTAAATGACTAAATTCAAGCCAAGTGTTTATCCCAACTCCTGGCACATAAGACTTCAATATGTTAGTGAATGATGGTGATTGTGCCACTGCTACTGATAATGACAAATTGATCCAGGAGCCTTGAGGAGGGAATCTTTACTTCTCTCTGAAGGAGCTGAGGTTTCTCAGGTCTCCTTTGAACTGCATTTTCTATTATGACTGGAAGTTTATTAAGGGATGAGGTGATACGGAGAGGAGGTCAGGTCAGACTTATTTGAGAAAATTCAAGAAGTTCAGTATGGGTAGCATACAGGAAAAAGGATTGTGGGATAAAGAAGTAGGTATACAATTGGGTCAGTAAGCAGGAATTTACAGAGCTTTTAAAGCAGGGGGGGGTGAGATAATCAGCTTTATTTTTCAAAATGACAACACTGGCAGTGTGTGGAAAAAGAAAGATGGAAGAAAAGACTGATGGCCACGAGATCTGGTAGAAGGTGACTGCGGTAATCTAAGGGAGATCCAAGAGGGCCTGAAGGCATTAGTGACTGCAGAATTTTTATATAGAGGATATTCAGGGGGATCTCTGTCTGGTTGAAAATGGGGGTTAGAGGTTATGTTTGCATAGTAAACATACTTGTTTTACTTAAAAGCGTATGTTACAGATTAATAAAATAGCAGTGTTCTACATATTTTTTCACATCGCATAATATTTAGAATATATCAATTATTCATATCTACTTTTAAAAGCATCAAGGGGAGGATAAAGGAAAATGGCATCCCCACTGTTTGAAGGGCATGCATAACATTCATTTAGCTATATAATTTTTTAAAAATATCAGTCACGTTGGACACTGTAGAATCCCAATTTACTGTTGAATTCGTTGAGATAAAGTGCTCTCTTCCTAACACCCATTCCAAGCTAGGCACTTACTACGGATCTGTATCTCACTTCATTGACTCTTTTCTCAACCACATCTTGTCTAATAGCTTCTAACATTTAGTAACCATATACAGTACTATGTTCCAGGCACTACGCTGACTGGTTTACTTTAGTTATCTCATAGCAATCTTATGATAATTGCCACTTTTACAGATGAGATGGAGACTGGAAGAGGTAAAGTAACTTACCCCAAATCACACAACTAATTAAGAGGTGCAGCCAGCATTCAAACCCAGGCATCTTTACTGCTGGGCAATTCTTACTACTTCACTGCTTCTTTATATTCAGTGACTCTCGATTATCTGTGCTTCGATGGGGCCACTGTGCCACAAACAATCCTGCATAGTGGTTAATCCAAGAGCTCCTGTTTCATTCATCTCTCCTTAGCTTGCTGATGGTACCTTTCTCTGCAAACCTAATCTTGCTGTGAATTAATCTTATAGATTATATTCTCCTAGAGCCTTGGCTAAAAAAGATCTCCCATCTTTGATCTCTATAAGCCAACCTAGGTGGTTTTCCCTTGTGGTTGCCACTAGTACATGCCACATAGATATAAGAAAATGGAGGGGGGGGCAGGGTCGTGCTGATTCTTGTTGTTTTCATTCTGGGATACTGACAATACTTTGTTTGTTCTATGTTGTTCCAAGTGCCCTCTCCCCGCCCAACTATCCTCACAGCTGTAAGAGTTCATCCTTGGGGGAGCCTGGGTTGCTCAGTCGATTAAGTGTGGGACTTCTGCTCAGGTCATGATCTCACAGCTGATGAGTTTGAGCCCCATGTCAGGCTCTGTGCTGACAGCTCAGAGCCTGGAGCCTGCCTTGAATTCTGTGTCTCCCTGTCTCTGAACCTCTCCTGCTTGTGCTCTGTCTCTCTCTCAAAAATAAACGTTAAAAAAAAAAGTTCATCCTTGTTTTCACGTAGCATCTTACGATCAGGTACTGAAACGTGACATTTTTTATTCATTCATTTTCTTTTAATTTTTTTAACGTTTAATTATGATTGAGAGACAGAGAGAGACAGAGCATGAGCAGGGGAGGGGCCGAGAGACGGGGAGACACAGAATGTGAAGGAGGCTCCAAGGTCTGAGCTGTCAGCACAGAGCCTGACGCGGGGCTCGAACTCACAAACTATGAGATCATGACCTGAGTTGAAGTCTGACGCTCAACCGACTGAGCCACCCAGGTGCCCCTTACTCGTTCATTTTCTTAGAAAGCAAGCAGCATCCCTAAGAGGAAATGAATTTTTAAATATTTTTTAACTCCTTTGGCTTACTTGCTCTGTAGTATTATATGCCAAATGAAAGGTTTAAAGTGTCTGAAATCCTAGACCTCTAATCCAGCCCCTGAAGGGTTGCAGGGAGGGCGTAGGCAGGTGAGGGGAGGACGGCACACGCCGTCATGCCCTTGGGATGGCTTTGGCTGTGGAGCGCACCTGGCCTTCCGGTCCGAATCTGGGGCGCTCCCAGGGTGTCCTGCAGTTTCTCATACATCCGGGAGTCACATCCCACCCTCTGCATGGTCTTCTCCCTCGAATTCCCTGGAATTCGCTTCCTCCTCGCAGAACACTCCCCCCAGGTGAGCGTACGTTCGTTATCAGGGCTCAGCACGAGCACCCCCGTGTCCTACCCCCATAGTGCCCAGGCCGCTGCCCGCCAGCCCCACGCTACTGCTTTTGGGACGCGCACCTCCCTGACACCTCGCTTGTCAGGCCGGCGGGTCTACCTCCCCGTCCGGACTGTCAGCCCCGGGAGGGCAGGGCATCCACACCTCGACCCGACACAACAGCTACAAAGACTCGAGGGCAGGACCGAGCCCGGCGCTCGGACGCGGAGCGCAATGCCCGTTCCCGCTCGGAAGGAGGCTCCCGTCTGGCCTGCACACAGTGTGGCTCTCACGCTCTCGGCCCGACAGGCCGGGAAGGGCTTCAGAGGCGGATGGTATTTAAAACGTGAAAGGTATGTGGAAAAACCACTCCAGCGAGTGCCCCTCTGGGTTTCCGGCCCACTGCTGCGTGACAAGGCGAAGCCCGTCACACGAGGTCAGGCCTCTGAAGACCTGACGGAAAAAGCCGGGAGGAGACACCGGCATGAACCTAAGCACACAAAGCAAGACCTAAATCCTCACGGAGGGCCGCTCCTCGCCGCTCGCCGCTCCTGTCACTCCTGGGATAGCTAGTCGGCTCCGCTGCCTCGCCCGCGCTGTTCTCAGAAACTTGCCACGCGCTCAGACCGTTTGGTAGGCAGCGCCAGGCGGGGGCGCGCGCGCGAGCTTCTGGCCGGAGGATTTCCTGATCTGCCCAGAAACTCGTGACGTTTAGCCAGAAGCTTAGCAAGGGTTGGCCGAGGCCAATGGGGCGGACCAGGAAGCTGAACTCACAGGAGGGGGTTGCAAGGGAAAATGAAGGTAGAGAAGCCTGTGTCTCGCTTGGTAGAGAGCTCATGTTTGATTCAAGATAATAGGTACTACGCAAAACAAAGTGAACACAAAAGAGTAAGGGTTGTTGTAGGAAATAGTGGCTCTGTTAGAAAAACAAAGGGTTGTCCACCCCTGTGCCTATTCGTTGTGTGACGCGGCCTGAGCATGTGCGAAGTCGCGCGCGGAAGCTGGCTGCGCGCGCAGCTGCGTTCCCGTGTTGGGCCGCGCAGGTTGGCGTTGGGTGTCGGTTTCTCAGTTGCTCAAAAATCTAGCTGGCGTCGGTCTCGGCTCTTCCTGGGTGGCCTGGCAAATTGGTTCCACGGGACTTTTTGCCAGTATCAAAAAGACTTTTTTTGTACACCCCCGTTTCTCCACATACAAGTAACACGCTTGAGTAAACGAGCATTCCCTTCCTCACTTCGTACCAAAGGTGCCTGCGCTCTTGCTCCCCCGCCCAGCAGCTATCAATAGCCATAAAAATGGGGGTGAGTAAATCCTCCGTTGTGTCTCTCCACCCCGGACCCCTTCCCACCGCTTTCGTGGCAAACATCTTCGGAGGGTTGTTTCTCAGAACGCTTTTCCGGCGCCCAGGTCGGGCCATTCTCATGGGCATCCTGTTGTGTCCTTGTCTCCCACAGTCCTTGGCTGACCGTGAGCCATGGGCTGAGCTCCTTGGTGCAGTGAAATTTGAGGATTTGGGAGTTTTCAGGGGACCAATTACGTGCATTCCCTATCTCATTTACTGTAACTCCTTTGAGGAGGCGCTACTATTACCTCTTTTGTGGAAGAGGGTTTATTTCTTTTAGATTATGAGTGAGTGACTTCTTGTCCAAGAAGGGCAGCTGCCTTTCTTGTACCCTAGTTGTACCAATGCTTTGTCGTCTTCCATACTGACATTTTGGGGGAGAATGTCACCTGGAATAGAAGCTTTGGGGCCAGACAAACCCCAAAGAGGAATCTAGGAAATTCCAAAGAGGAATCTATGAATTCCTCTACGATGTCTTAACTAACTTTGACACTATGGGAAAGTTACATAACTTCTAGTTCTTCTGTTAAAAGGAATGACATTTAGTTTATGTATTTGAAAGTGCCTGCCATTATTTTTGACACTACATTGGTGTTTGATAAATGATAGTCTGTCTTCCTTTTGTGATCACAGAAAGGCCTTTCCTGACGACTCCCCACTAAAACTGCCAGGCTTTATTTGAGGCTAGTTTATAAGACCTATCAGAGTAACCCCTTCAGGCTACCCGCATTTCTCTTTTATGGCTTTGAATGGTTTTGCTCACTTATGTTAAATATTTCTACATAGTGATACCAAATCAACATCATAATCACCGCTTGCTAGAAACCAAAATCTCTGTGCTTATGCTTAGTGGGATTTTTTTCAGCTCCTTGTTTTTAGGAGGTGCCTTTGAACGTCGTTTTCTATTTTGTCATATGCTAGTATTTTTAATGTCCTTTTCCCAATTCCTGAATGGTGTATCAACCTTAACTTTGATTTCTTCAGTGGAAATCTTAAATTTTAATATTTTAAAGGCTGCTAATATAATCCCATCTAATAAAAATAGCTGTATCATATAAAAATGGTTTTTAAAAATTTACGGTAATTTTATAAATTGGCCAGTGAATTGAATCTTGGCAAATGGGCTTGCTCCAGGTGACCCATTTCTTTTTTTTTTTCAACATTTATTTATTTTTGGGACAGAGAGAGACAGAGCATGAACGGGGGAGGGTCAGAGAGAGAGGGAGACACAGAATCGGAAACAGGCTCCAGGCTCTGAGCCATCAGCCCAGAGCCTGACATGGGGCTCGAACTCATGGACCGCGAGATCGTGACCTGGCTGAAGTCAGACGCTTAACCGACTGCGCCACCCAGGCGCCCCGGGGTGACCCATTTCTTTATGTGGATGGTGCTTTCCTAGGGAAGTTGAGAAGTCGTTCCTTCAAATGGATAATTGCTTTGGCCTGGGTCAAAGTTATGACTGTGGGAGTGGGTTATAGTAGTAGTGAGTTTGAACCTGACAAAAGCAAGAGAAACTGCAGCTAGAGGGACATCGTCTTCTGAAGTGGTACCTCCCTTTTAACTGCTTTACTTGGTTTCTGGGCTCCCCAGATCTGCTACTTCCCTGATCCCTCAAGACTCTTTTTCTCCCTTACCTGTTTTTTACTCCTGGAGCTGTCAATGCCCAACTCAGAGGCACCTTGTTTATAGAAGCTAAACGGTTAGGTGGGATCAGTACAGTCTTTTTTTTTTTTTTTTTTTTATGTTTATTTATTTTTGAGACAGAGACAGAGCATGAGCGGGGGAGGGGCAGAGAGAGAGGGAGACACAGAATTCGAAGCAGGCTCCAGGCTCTGAGCCGTCAGCACAGAGCTCAACACGGGGGCTCAAACTCGTCAACTGCGAGATCGTGACCTGAACCGAAGTCGAATGCTCAACCGACTGAGCCACCCAGGCACCCTAAGATCAGTACAGTCTTAACCAGAATTAGAAGAGCAGATAAATTAAGGGTTAAAATAAGTAGTTAGTACTAAGTGAATCACCTTGACCAGCCCATCAGAGTCAAGGTGAGGATAAGATCTGAGCTAACAGTAAACAAAGAAAAATCCAAGAATCGAGGCGGAAGGTCACTAATCAGTAAAGTCTAAGAAAGCAAGAGCATAAAGCTTGAGAAAGATTTGGGAACCAAAGTTAACTGTTAAGATCTAAGCTGGTTTTAACCTTCTGCCCTGATGGGGTAACTCCTGATCAGGACTGACTTGGAACAGAGTTCTGGGGTGGGGAAGCGGAGGTAACTTTTATCAGAGCTATTTCCTGAGCAGGCATTGTTTCTGCACTGTCCTTGTCCTCTTAGAGTTCACACTGGAGGGGTGTGTGGTGGAGGCAGAACCCTAAACAAAAGCCACAGCACAATACGATGAGTAAGTACTCTTACAGAAATTTTGGCTGAGTGTTAAGGAAAACAGAAAACAACAAATTGATGATGGCAGTTAGAAGGTGGGGATAGAAAGTCATGGAAATTCCAGAGACGGTGACATTTGAGTTGGCTTTGAAGAATAAACAGACACTTGCATAGCAGAGAACTGGTGAGGAACACTTATTCATTTAATCAATGTGAATTGAGTACTTAACTTTGTTCCAGGTATTGTTCTAGGTAGTGGGGACACAGCAGGAAACAAAGCCCCAGCCTTGGAGGAGCTTACATTCTAGTGACATCATAGGCACAAGAATCAGCGTGAAAGAGCTTGGTGTATTCAGGGAAGGTTAAGTTCAGTTGGGATGTTGGTGGAAAATAAAGCTATAGAGGTAAGAGGAGGACAGAGTAAGAGCCAATTATCCCATGCTGAAAAGTTTAGATACAGACTCTTCTGCAAGCCCTTGCCTTTAAAAAAAAATTTTTTTAATATTTATTTTTGAGACAGAGAGAGACAGAGCATGAACAGGGGAGGGTCAGAGAGAGAGGGAGACACAGAATCCGAAGCAGGCTTCAGGCTCTGAGCCTCAGCACAAAGCCCAACGCGGGGCTCGAACCCACAGACCGTGAGATCATGACCTGAGCCGAAGTCGGACGCTCAACCAACTGAGCCACCCACGTGCCCCAAACCCTTGCCTTTTAAACATTTTAGAGCTGTGGAAACCTTTCTGCCAAAGAATCTTGCAAGGTCACTCAATATATAAAACAGTAAAAGCTGAACTCCTTGTTGAAGCAGGGAGGAGAGGTGGGGGTGACACAAGAGAGGATCTCCCAGTGCTGCCCTCCCTCTCACTCTCAGGTTGCCACAACAGCTCTAGGAAACCCGAAGGACCCCAGTGGGTTTAAAGCCTACTGCTGAATGTAATGGAGGGCACACAAATATGGGAAAATGGAGAGATGTGATCATATTTGCTGCCTTGGGATAAAATTGCCAGGAGGGATAGGGTAGGATGGCCTTTTAGCAGACAAACTAGTTAGGTGGGTTATGGAAGAGATGCTGAGGACCTGACCTAGGTGGGTAGGATAGATCCAAAAAAGATTTAGGAGGGAAAATCAACAGAACTTGATGACTGAAGGGGAGCAAGAAAGGGAGGAGTGAAAGATGACTTCAAGAGAGCACAGTGAAGGTCCTTAAGACTTTCTCTATTCACCTCTTTGCTTTTATTTTATTTTTTAATTTTTTAATGTTTTTTATTCTATTTTTTGAGAGAGAGAGAGAGTGTAAGTGGGGGAAGGGTAGAAAGAGAGAGAGAGACATAGAATCCAAAGCAGGCTCCAGGCTCTGAGCTGTCAGCACAGAGCCTGACATGGGGGTCGAACCTACAAGCTGTGAGATCATGACCTGAGCTGAAGTCAGACGCTTAACGGACTGAGCCACCCAGGCACCCCTCACCTCTTTGCTTTTGATTACAGGTGTCCTGGGCATCTGGTTGGGTCACCCCATCTTTGGCTTTCATCTGCCTACAAGACCAGTTTGAATGTCTCATCAAGGCCCTTTGCCATGTCCTCATGCTCTGTATCAGGATAGATACAGGAAAGGAGACTGGGAGGGAGGACAATGAGACCTTGATTTTGGACAGATGGGTTTACATGACCTATGGAGCGTCTAGCAGTGAATTGGAAATACAGATCTGAATCTCAGGAGAGGGGTGGTGATTGGAGTTAGATATTTAGGCTCAGCAGAAAGTAGGCAGTAATTGAAGGGATGGGCATAGATGAGTATGTCTGGGTAAGTCATGTATAGAGAAAAGAGCTAAGGATCGAACTGCAGAGGACCAGAGGGGAGGGAGAAGTCAGAGATCCCAGGGGAGACCTTTGCCTTATCTTCCCTCTGTCTTACTGGTCTGTTTTTCAGTCATACCAGTAGTTCTGGGTCCAAACTCAAGAGCCAGGAGGTCGCTTCTGAGGGGGTCTGGGAAGTGACCAGGAAGAGGACTCAGACTACAGTGCCACCCAGGTCTCTCAATGCACCATAAACATCTACCTTGAATGGGGAGAGAACAAATGGTAGAATCATGCCCCAGGCCTTAGCTCCAGAGATTTCCAGAGTGTCACCTGGGCTGTAGACCTGAAACTCACTTCTTGAATCCTGGTATATACTCCCACTACTGGAAGACACTATTCTTGAGTTTTACCTGCTAGACTGTGTGAACTATGAAAATATGTATCTGTGACTTCATTGTGTACATAGAGGAGGAACTTTTGTACACTTGATGATCCGGCAAAATCGGATTCTCTTCACCCTGGGCTGTTTCATGCCTTTTAGCCTTATTCCATTATCTTTGCCTAACTCATTCATAGCCTTTTTTACATAACATCCTCCAAGAAGTCTTCACTAATCCGTTTCCTTCATTAAAGGTTTCCCTGTGGTACCTTATGAATACCTTTATGTTCACAATTGTCATGTGGAGAAATGATCTGTTTATGCATTTACCTTCTTTACTAGAAGATGTCAGTGACTGGCACATAGAAGTGCTCACTGAGTGTTTCTCAGATGGTGAACACAGCATCAGCTGCTTTGCCATCCAGCACTTCTGCTGCTCTGACTGCGATGCCCCAGGCCTGCCTCACCACCACAAACGGAAAATGGATGTGTCAGCTGCTTGGGATCCCACCTCGGCCAGGCTCCTGGTACATCCCCAGTAGTGCTGCCATTGTGCTAAGTGTTTCCCACCATGACCTGTCTACCCATACTTCTTCTTCTGAAATTATAACCTCCTGTGGGCCATCAAACCAAGGAGTGATCTTTTGCTGGCCTGCTGTAGCACAAGTACTGGGCCATCTCGCTCCAAGGGCCTTTCTCCTATGAACTCTTTGGCAGCTATTTTGTCCACCAAACAGCTGGGTCAGGAAGCATAGACCCACTGGGAATTGTCCCTCTGGTTTGGGTTTATTAAATACTTTTAAAATACTTTAATAAATTAAATACTTTAGTTCCATTAAGTCTTTGAGTGCCTGTAGATGCAATAGGGTCAGAGGTTATAGGAAAGTACCTCTTCTGAAACCATAGAATGTTTCAGAATGAAATTCTGAAAAGTGGTCAGTGAGCAGAGTAAGTATCAAGGGAAGAAGAGAGGAAGAGAAAAAAGGCATTCCAAGTCAAGGGAATAAAGGCATGGGAATGCTGCCTCCAGGACCGCAAGTCCTGTAACTGGCTACACCATTAGGTCCTATGAGGGTGGTGTGGGAATGGTCTCCCCTCCCCCCATCTCTTTTGATTCTTGAGCATTAACTTAGTGCTTTCATAAGGTCTTGAATTGCCCCTAGTGATGCATCAAATCCCGTTTGCCTATTGGGTGACCATCAGTAGTATCTCCTTCAAATCAAAATGCTTCTAATTAATCAGGTCCTACCAATTAGCCTCTTTTCTTGGGAGTCCCCATAGCACTGGCTTTTCAGTTTGAAAACTTTCTTTGCATGTAATTACAGACCAGAGGTAATAACAGAGAAATAACAGCTACAAACAAGAAGTCATATATAGCGTTAAGTGCCTGGATTTTGGATTCCAGAGCCAGCTCAGAACCAGGTTTGAATCCTAAAACCATCACAGTGAGAGTAGGGGAAGTAACTGAATCTCTCTGCCTTGATTTCTAAAATAGAGGTAAAATGAGTACCTCATATGCATAGTGAAGGTTAAAAGAAGTAACACGGGGGCGCCTGGGTGGCTCGGTCGGTTAAGCGTCCGACTTCGGCTCAGGTCATGATCTCACGGTCTGTGAGTTCGAGCCCCGCATCGGGCTCTGTGCTGACAGCTCAGAGCCTGGAGCCTGTTTCGGATTCTGTGTCTCCCTCTCTCTCTGCCCCTCCCCTGTTCATGCTCTGTCTCTCTCTGTCTCAAAAATAAATGAACGTTAAAAAAAAATTTTTTTAAATAAAAGAAGTAATACGTGTGGTACTTAGTAAGTGTCAGCTATTCTCTGCTTAATGAATAGGAAATCTTCTTTATCCTTACCATAACTTAGATATCCTATTTTCCCCCTAACACCTTGAGGATGTTTTATCATAGCAATTAACTCATTGTTGGTATTGTTTATCATTCTCTCTCACTAAAAGATCATTCACGGGGCGCCTGGGTGGCGCAGTCGGTTAAGCGTCCGACTTCAGCCAGGTCACGATCTCGCGGTCCGTGAGTTCAAGCCCCGCGTCAGGCTCTGGACTGATGGCTCGGAGCCTGGAGCCTGTTTCCGATTCTGTGTCTCCCTCTCTCTCTGCCCCTCCCCCGTTCATGCTCTGTCTCTCTCTGTCCCAAAAATAAATAAACGTTGGGAAAAATAAATAAATAAATAAATAAATAAAAGATCATTCACTTGTTTAAACACATGTATTGATTAGGTTATGACAGCGGTTAAAAGTAACACAATATATACCCCAAATTATTGAAAACAGGTACTTAAATACGTGTACATGCACATTCACAGCGGCATTACTTACGATAACTGAGAGATGGAAACAACCCAAATGTCTATCAATAGATAAATGGGTAAGCAAATGATGGCATATACATACAACAAAATATTATTCGGCCATAAAAAGAAATGAAGTGCTGGCACATACTACAACATGCGTGAACCTTGAAGACATTATGCCAAATTAAAAAAGCCAGACACAAAAGTCACATGTTATATAATTCCATTTATATGAAATAATCAGAACAGGTAAATCCATAGAGACAATGCAGATTGGTGTGTACCAGGGGATAGGAGAAGAGAATAAACAACTGCTTAATGGGTATGGAATTTTCTTTTGGATGAAAATGTTTAGCACTAGATAGAGGTGGTGGTTGTACAACACTGTGAATGTACTAAACGCCAATGAATTGTTTGCTTTCACATGGTTAATTTTACATCCTGTGAATCTCAATAACAAAGAAAGAAGAGAAAGAATTCCCACCTTCAAAGAATTTGTATTTTAGCGAAGGAGCCAGATCAGACAGCAAGCCAGTTCACACCTAGGCAAGCAATTACATATTGTGATAATTGCTTGGTGAGAAATAAAGTAAGGGGAGAGTATGGAAAAGATAACAAGGGGCTGGAAGTAGAGAGGCTCTGAGGTTGGAAGGGGCTTAGCAGTTTGAGAAATCGCCAGGAGAACCTCTGGACTCACTCCTAGAGAACCAAAGGCAACGGTTTAAGATGAGCCCAAGGAGGTAAGCAGGAGCCAGGCCTTGCAGAATCTTACATGTCATGAGGAGGGAGTATGACATTCAACCTAAGAGCAATGGGAAGCTGGGGAGGGTTTTGATCGAGGGGAACACGAGGACCTGAATTACATTTAACGGTTTTATCTTTTTTAAATTAAAAAAATTTTATTAAGATTTTATTTTTAGTTATTTTTATTTATTTGAGAGAGAGAGAGAGACAAAGAGAGACAGAGGGAGGGAGGGGCAGAGAGAGCGGGGGGAAGAGAGAGAATCCCAAGCAGGCTCTGTGCTGTCAGTGCAGAGCCCAACACAGGGTTCCACCCCACAAACCATGGGATCATGACCTGAGCTGAAGTTGGATGCTTAACTGACTGAGCCACTCAGGTTCCCCCATTAAAAGATTTTTTTTTTTGAGAGAGAGAGAGAGAGAGAGAGAGAGAGAGAGAGAGAGAGAGAGAGAGACTATCCCAAGCAGGCTCCACGCTCAATAAGGATCCCATGACCCTGGATCATGACCCAAGCCAAAATCAAGAGTTGGATGCTCAACCCACTGAGCCACCGATTGTGCTCTACTCTCCGATTTTATTTTTTAAGTTATCTTTACACCCAGTACAGGGCTCGAACTCATGACCCAAGATCGAGAGTCATATGCTCTACTGACTAAGCCAGGCAGCTGCCCCTTATCTCTTTTTTAAATGCACTTATTAGCTTGTCTGTTTTCTAGTGTAAAGTTTCTCTACAAGGCAGGTTGTATCAGAATTACTTGGCAGGCTTATTCTATTATTTTTCTGTAAATTTAAATTCCAGTATAATTAACATACAGTGTTCTATTAGTTTCAGGTGTATAATACTGGGAGGCTTATTTTTTTAAGTTTATTTTGAGAGAGAGAGCATGCAAGTGTGCATGGGAAAGGGGCAGAGAGAGGGCGGGGGGGAGGGGGGAGAGAGAGAGAGAGAGAGAGAGAGAGAGGGAGGGAGGGAGGGAGGGAGAATTCTAAGCAGGCTCCACACCCTTAATGCAGAGCCTGATGCAGGGCTCGAACTCTTGAGCCAAGAGATAATGCCTAAGCTGAAGTCTGTTGCTTAACTGACTGAGCCACCCAGTCACCCCTGGGAACCTTATTCTTAAAATATAATACTGGAAGCCATTGGATTGTGTACGTGTGTTGTTTAGTGGGGGTGGCTAGAAGGGATAGTTTAGAATAGCTCCCCAGGGGATTTGCCCCTACTGCTCCCTCAGACTCCTTGGAACAAGCTTGAAAGTCTTGAAATGGGTACTAATTACATTATCATGAATTCTTTACGCACTTTACAGGGGTGGAGAGGGGACCTGATTCAATGACTGTAACAATTTCAGTGGCCTGTTCTGAGACTGGCAGTGAACCCAAAGGCGGAAGGAGGAGCATGATCTCTGAGAAGACCCAGAGGCAGGAAAGCAACAGCAAAGTAGGGTTCATCACTGGAGGAAAGATACCAGCAAGTACAGGTGAGCAGAACTGATTTCTAAAAAGGGTGGAGAACTGTACTATGAAGAGGATCTGGGTACTATGGTGCAAGACTTTGTTAGGGGTGAAAACAAAGCAGAGAATTTATATAGTGAATATCTTGGCTGCTCAAAACTGTTGTCTGAGTAGCAACAGCATTGCTTTTGGAGCTTGTTAGAAATGCTGAAGCTTAAGCCCTGTCTCAGACCCCAAACCTACTGAATCATAATCTGCATTTTGAACAAGAGCCCCAGATGTTTCTTTTGCTCATTGAAGTTTAAGAAGCACTGGTCTAGATCATGGGGAGAAAATCCCAGACGACCAGAAGGTAGGCTCTCTGACACAGCTGAAGCACTTTATTTTGAATACTTTATGATACAGGACAGTGGCTTCTGAAAAGGTATTGCGTTTTTTTCAATTAAGTACTATAAATCCTGGAGAAAAAAACCTTATTTAACTACAGGGAGGTTTCTCATAATGCAAATTTCCACCCACTAGAAACATTTCCTGTGGAGTAAAGTACTAGGCTTCCTTAAAGTGAGGCAGAGCACGTTAAAAATATGCAAAAAGAACTCGGATCTTGGCCAAGTCAACCCTTCACACAGCTGGATCGGGTCTGGGGCAGCTGATATCCCTTGGCAGCTCTGAGCCACCAGGATGGGCTTTTAAACAAAGTCAAAAGTTGGAGGCTCTTCTGCCCCAGAGAACTGCTCTGTGTTGTCTTTAATGCTGAAAATGTAGGAAGGCGACTCG